ATACTTAGTTTAATTTGTAAAAAAAAAAAAAAAAGTCATTAGTTTTGCATAATTTTGAGTTTTCCTGTGCATAATTTTGAATGTTCTGTGCATAATTCCTGGGGGTGTAATCAGGGAAGTGGGGGTAAAAAATGAGCTACATTTGGCAAAAGAAATTAAAAGAAAAAGAAGGATCACATTTACTCAGTACTTTCAGAAGTGCTCCTATGAATCAACAAATAAACTGGTGAAGATCAGCTTATATATGCATTTTACAAATATATTGGCCAGATAAGAAAAACAAAGGAAGTTTGAAGGTCCACTGCTAAATAGATAAGGTGAGTTATTAACAGAAGACACAAAGAAAGGCAGAACTGCTCAAAAGTTACTTTGGATTAGTCTTCAAAAATGAAAAAATAAGCTGCAACCAGACAGGTAGTAAAAATTGTATAGACAAGGGGCACGTCTACATGAGAAGCTTTACTTGAGATTAGAGATAATTACTGTGCAGTAACCATCACCGTTTATACATACAAATGCTTATTGCGCAGTAATTGCTCTAATTGGGAGTAAATCTGCTACCTGTAAATACAAGTAGCAACTTTACTCTCAATTACTTACTGCACAGTACAGCACATGTAGACAGCTGACTGGAAGCAAATGTGCTCCCGGTCAGCCAGGCAGCAGGGGACGGGGGATTGCTCCCTGCCCTAGGGATCTGCTTGCTAGGGCTGTGTGAAATTTCGCTGGCTGTTTCATTTCAATGCTGTTTTGACTAGTTTCGAGCTCAAAACAGCAACATTGAAACAAAATGAAAGACTTCAAAACAGTCTCAGAATGAAACAAGGGCAGTCAAAACTTTTCAAAATTTTCCGAACGTTTCAAGTTTCAGAGCTGGGCTTGCTTGTAGCTAAAGAGAAACTAAGGAGAGGGAGGAGGAAGAAGGGGGAAAGACTGCTCTGATATTGACATGTGCAGCTGGCCAGTGATTGTGATCTTTCCCTGAGGTCCCTTCCAAACCCAGTGCTCTGTGGGAGGGATGGAAAAACTGCATAAAAAGCATTGTTTGAACCGAGCTTACTCTGTGCCTTCACACTTACAGGTGATGCAAGTTTTGCTCTGAACAGTTTGAGGTGCAGTTTCCCAGAAACCCCTGAACCTATCTCCCTGAAACTTGCCAGGCTTCATGGCCCCAGCAGGGGCTACCATGCTAGCAGTTTTCACCCTGCTCTGCCTTAACACACACGTGTCATGAGTTTTGCTTGTCAGCAGCTTGAGGTGCAGTTTCCCAGAAACCCCTGCACTTGTCTCCTTGAAAGCTGGCAGGCTTCATGGCCTCACCAGAGGCCACCATGCCTGCAGTTGTCATCCCACTGTGGCTTAACACATGCACATGATGCAAGTTTTGCTTTCAAGTCTTTGAAGTACAGTTTCCCAGAAACCCCTGAACCTATCTCCTTGAAACTGGTCAAGCGTCATGGCCTCAGAAAGGGCTACTATTCCTGCAAGTTTCATCTGAGTAAGGCAAGAAATGACAAAGTTATAGGCAGTTTTGTGCTTCCCCATTACAGCCTATGGGCAAAACGTTGAAACAGCGTAGAAACAGTAAAACAGTTGTGATGAAACAAAATGGAACAGCAGTTTTGAAACTAAACAAAACTCAAAATGAAGCACTGTTCCATTGGAACAGTGATGCCTAAGTCGAAATGAAATGGTGCTGTTTTGCACAGCCCTACTGCTTGATGTCAGGGTCGGGGCAATGTTTGTGATCATAACTAGGGAGCAAGGGTTAGGAGATTCTTATCTCCCAGCCCTGGCCCCACAGTTGTGGGGTCCAGGCTGGGAAATTCTTATCTCCCAACCATAGCTCCATGACTGTGGGGCCAGGGTTGGGAGATAGGAATCCCCCAGTCTGGTCTCCATGACTGTGGAGCTTGAGCTGGGAGAGAAGAATCTCCCATACTCAGCCCTGCGACCATGACTGCGATAGGAATAGAATTTAGAAGGATCTTGATAGATTGGAAAACTGGGCTGGAGGCAAGAAGATGAAGTTCAATGCAGACAAAATGCTTCTGTCAGCAAGAGGAGGATGATCAGGGAAAGTGTGATTCCCTTACTGAAGAGGGAAGGCAACCTAGGGCGTTTTTCCACATGATGAGGGTTTAATTCTTAGGGTTGCATTATATGCTCCCTAAATTGAAATGGTGGGTTTTAATTTAAACCTACCATTTCAATTTAGGGGTTTCCATCACTGTTATGGCAAAGGGCCCAATCCTTTTTTTTCGGTGGAGCCTGCCTGCCTCTCCCACAGCTGGAGGGCAAGCTGCTGGTGGGCTGAGCAGCCCCTGAGCTGTGGGAGGCCCCAATCCTTCCCTCTGCAGTGGCAGTGTCTCCTGGGGCCACCTAGGTAGCCCAGCCTGGAAGCAGCACCTGGCCTAATCCAACTCTATCCATACCCTGAGGTGTGGAAGCACGTGGCCTGATAGCAGCCTGCCCAGGTGGCCTTGGGGGGCACTGCCGCCATGGAGGGAAGGACCAGGGTCCCTCTGCAGCTCAGTGGTCACTCGGTCCACCAGCAGCTCAGTCCTTGGCCATGGGAGAGGCAGGCAGGCTCCACTGAAGAAAAAAAAAAAAAGAATCCGGCCCCTCACCACTTCTGCCTTCACTCAGCACCTGCTGAAGGCAGAAGTAATGAGGGGCCCAATTCTTTTTTCCTGTGGATCCTGCCCACCTCTTCCATGGTCAGGGGACGATCTACTAGCTGGAAATGCATTGGTGCAAACTAAACTACTTCAGGATGTATTTTAGTTTGTAACAATGCAAACTCATTTTAAACCCGCAAGCTCCTACATGTGTACAGCGTGACACCATTAAGCCACACAAAGTGAAATTTTCATCATGTGTACATGGCAATGGCATCACATGTACAAGTGCCCTTAGTGAGAAAGGATGAAGTACTCAATGGCTTTTTCACATCAGTCTTCACAGGCAAGGTCAGCTTCCAGACTACTGCACCAGGCAGCACAGTTTTGGGAGCAGGCAAGCATCCAACAGTGGTGAAAGAACAGGTTAGGAACTTCACACAGGCCTAGTAAACATCCAGTTTTTCTTTAATAGATATCTAAATAATCTGAAATTTACCTACCTAAGAATCTGGCTCAGAATGGCCCATAAATTGTAGCATGTATTGTAGCTCTGTCGTCTTGTACTGAAAACTAAATATGCAGACATTTACACTATGCTGTCCATAAGCACCCTTAATGCTGACCAGTGGCAATGTTTGTATTCTACCCTTCTCACTGTAGCAAGCCATTTTCTTGGATGAGATTTGCCAAATCAAGAAGCTTCATGATTCCTATGGGGCAATGGCTGACTGTTGTGCTAATGCTGACCCTGAAAGAAATGAGTGCTTCCTATCATTCAAAATGACCTATCCCCGCTTCTTTATACCATATCAGAGACCTGAGCCTGATGCTGTTTGCAAGGAGCTCAAAGAGAACAGACAGTCATTCCTGGGACAGTAAGGAAACTCATTATTATTATACAGATCGTGGATCGTATTCATTAGGGTGCATGGGATGTGTTGACACTCAGAACCACAGGGTCAAAAAGCTGTCACTGTAAGTGTAGGAACAGCCACACATCCATGGTGCATATACTTTCACAGGGCATTTGTGTGGATGTTAGAATAATGAGCTAGCCAGAATTCTTCAAAATTTGAACTTGTGAAGCAATTTCAACTAAACATTAGGATTATTTAATTGCTTCCATTTAAAGATTTCCCCCCATAAAATAACATGTCTTCACCTTCAGGTTTTTTTTCTTGAAGTATTTTGGGAATTTCTGATTTTTTAACAGAAAAAAGAGAACAAAATTGTATAAGAACTCCATGTCCACTTTTCCAGTATTTCATTCTTCCTTTTCCACCTTCCCATTTTCTCTGTTTTTTCACTTCCCCTTTTTTCCACTTCATCACTGGAAAGGACAGAAAAAAAAAAAGAGATAGAGGTAGCAATGAAGCTTGTCAGCTTTCCCCCCTCACACCACTGAATGTTGAATTTTTGGCAAAAATATTTTAAAACTGAATTCTTACAGACTTGGTGTGGCTAAATATATAAGGAATTCAAATAATTCTCTCTCTCAGTGTGTTCTCATTTGAAGATGTGCAGAGGCAGCACAAAATGTCCCATCAATAGACACCACATTTTCATAAAAGCCCCATATAGATTTGAGGTTATTTGTTGCTCTTGCTGAAATACCTGACTTCATGTTTTCTTTGAATTACAGTTATGTCTATGGAGTTGCAAGAAGGTTGCCTTTTCTATTTGCCCCTACAATTCTCGCCCTGGGTGATGACTACGAGCTTGCAGTTGAAACCTGTTGTGCAATAACTGACATTGGTGTCTGCTTGGAAGGAAAGGTACAGGCGGTCCTTAGACTTAAAACAATTGGTTCCTGAAAACTGTGTCTTGGTTCCTGAACCAAGGCCCGATACCCTATTTTTACCAAAAATAACCCAGATATTATAACCTATAATTACCCAGAAATTATAACCTATAATTTTGTACTCAGTCAATTATAGATGAGTAATATAGCTACATTAATATATTTATATTGTAAATAGCAATCATATTGATTTGGAAGGACTTCTTTGAGGTGACTTTGATGGACTTTTTGAAGGGCTCTTGGCTGGAGTCTTCTCAGGAGTCTTGGTGTAACAGGGGGCTTCTTAGGGCCAGTTTGATGTTGGCCTGCCCACCTGTCTCTGGGCTAACCACCTGCCTCTCCCACCTACCACACCTTGATGATACATAATTACTATGTTAATTAGGTGGGAGGCTGCCCATTTTGAACCCCGATGTTCAGGGGAATATCTGCAGCTCCATTCCATCCCTACACTGTGGCCTAAGCTTTGCAGATGGCATCTCAGGCAACTAAACTCAGCCATACCCTTCACCCATTAGCTGTGGTCCCCTCTCTGGGACCTTCGGCTCCCCCTTAGGCCCTGGCCCCTTAGGCTCCCCCGTAGGCCCTGGCCCCATCTCAGGCCTGTAGAGATCCTGAGCCTCTTTGCTCTGTGGGCACACCTTGCAGTGGGCCCCTGACCCTTTTGACCCCTTTGTGAGTCCTGGCCCCAGCATGGACCAGTCAGGTACCCCGGGTCAGGTCTAAGCTGCTTGCCTGCTTTTACCCTCACAACTCAGCTAGAAACTGAGCCACAGGCCTTTCTACACTCTCATAAGTCTGGGCATTACCCAGCTAGGACTGTGTGGGGACTGGAGGTTATTAGGCACCCCTGACCTGCCTTTCACCAGGGAGGTAACTGGCCTGGCATTTCATGGGGCTGCCACACCACCGGCACCCCCACCAGGCCACCCATCCCTGGCAGGGTGCAGTTTTAGGTCATGCCCAGAACCAGGAGCCTTCTCCATCCCCATAGCCTCAGCCCATAAATCTCCAAGCTGCTCCTGAGCCTCAGCTCTGCTGGCTAATGCCTCTCTCATGGCTGCTAGCAGCAAACTGCTGCTTCCCTATTTATAGCATGCTCTCTAAAATTGCTGCTGCAATCAAGCACCTGGCTGCTGCCTGCTTGGGCCCTTGAAGTGGCAGGCCTCAACAGCGCCTTGCTGTGCTTGGCTGCAGGTTTTTCTAGAGTCTTGTCTGCTTTCTTAAAGAAAGTGGCTAAGAAAGTCTGGACAGATGTTCTCCTCTTTTGCTTGTAAATTTCTCTGTAGCAGCTGTGCATGTTGGATATGCCCCTGTTCACAGATGCACTGCGTTCAATGTTGGGGTCATGTTCCTCAAACAGGGACATGGCAGCTTCCAAATATTGAAATGCCTCAGCCAACATGTTTGTTGTCAAGACTTTACGAGGAGAAGTCTCTTCAACAGTGGGTGCACCTTCTTTTTCCTCTGCCACTTTTTGCTGTTCCAATTCAATGAGGTCCTCATTAGTTAATTCTTCAGAATGTGATGCCAGCAACTCATCAACAGCACCTGGTACAACGTATTAGTTGAGTTCTTGCCCATTTCAACAACATTGTTGGCCACCTCTTCAACAGTGTCTGTAAAGCCTTGGAAGTCAGACACAAACTCAGGACACAATTTTTTCCAAACGCCATTCAAATTTGATTGTTTGACTTCATTCCATGTCTCACCAATCTTCTTAACTGCATGGTAAATGTTGAAACCCTTCCAGAATTCCTCAGAGTTGGTCCACCTTCCTTCTCAATTGCCCTGATGCCCTGGGCAAATGAGCACCTAAAATAGTAGGCCTTGAAGGATGAAAATAGTCCCTGGTCTATGAGTTGCAACAATAAGGTGGTGTTGGGGAGCAGAAACACCACTTTGATGTCAAGATATATGTCATCAAGGATGGTTGGATGACCAGAAGCATTGTTGAGAATTAACAATGCTTTAAATGCAAGATTGTTTTTGCTGTAATAAACCCTGACACTTGGCACAAAATGATGATTAAACCAATCCTCAAAAATATTCTTATTGACCCATGCCTTAGGATTGGATTTCCATATCACTGGGAGAAATGCCTTGGAATAACCCTTGAAAGCTCTGGGGTTTTCTGAACAGTACACAAGTAAAGGTTTAAGTTTAAAGTCACCTGCAGCATTAGCACCAATCAAAAGAATGAGCCTATCTTTAGCAGCTTTGTACCCTGGCACGGATTTCTCCTCTTTGCAATGTAGGTTCTCAACGGCATTTTTTCCCAAAAGAACTCAGTTTTGTCAACATTAAAAACTTGCCAAGCACAATACCCACCCTTTTCAATGTTTTCATCCAATGTCTCCATAGTAATTGCTCTACATTTCTTAGAAACATCACTTGCACCAGATTTATGCTTTTCTGCCATTATTATGGGGAAAAAAACACTAAATTTTAAGAAAAAATTTGGAAACACAAAGACTTATCACGTAAAAATAGTGTTGGAACAGCAACTAAGAGTCCTGAGTCAGGGAGATGGACGGTACAGCAGATCAGTGCAGGGAAATGGGCAGCACAGCGAACTTGTTCGCTGGCATGGCATGGCATCGGATCAAGCATCATAAAGTCGAAACTGATGTCAGAAAGTTGAAACAGTGTGTCAATTTATAAACGTCATAAGTGCTGTTCACCATAACTTGAATGTCGTAAAGTCGAGGACTGCCTGTATTCAGATTTTCTATGTGAGTGTCAATCCATTTTTTACCATCCCCTTAACATTACATGCTGATTTTAGCAATTTTAACCTCTAAAGCAGCAGTTCCCAAACTCTGACAGATTGTGCACCACCAGTTTAAAACAATACAATCTTAAGTACCACCACCGACATTTTCAGTTCAACCTTAAGCACCACCAGCAAATTTTTGTCTTATAAAGTAATTATAATAAATCTGTTAACACGTACCATAGACAGGTTATCTGCTTACCACTGGTGGTATCCATACCACAGATTGAGAACCGCTGCTCTAAAGGACAATGTCTAATCTAGTAATTTTAAAATAAATTATGGATCTTCATTGTAAGCTGTAACTGCTTGTAAATTAGGAGTTAATATTTGTCTCCCAGCTTTCCCTCCCACAGTATAATATGAGTTTTGGTTCATGACTACAAGCTGTGTACTTCAGTGAAATCAGCTGAGTTACTGACACAGCAAGATATGACACCACAACAGGTAGGGTAGCCAGTTTGGGACACAATATATGCACTGAAAGTTAACTGTTGGATTGTGAGTGGCTAAGGCTCATATCAGGATCTCTTGGTTTGTTCTCATCATAGCTTTACATGGAAAGAGTCCTCTGTGTTTCTAAACAGGGGTTTCTTTTCTAATCCATTAAGTGCAACCATTTCATTTGACACTCTGTGTTTTATTACTCTAGATCGCTGCCCTTAAGGAAAAGGCCACAGAAATGAGTCTATGGCATGAACACTCCTGTGGAATCTGGAAGATGTTTGGAGAGAAAACTTTCCAAGCACAGTAAGTGTCCTTATCACTATTTTACAATGAAATGGACTGTTTGCCCTGAAACCTGAAGATACATCAGAGAAATTTCATGGTATGGACAAACATACTTTTTGACTGCTTTAAAGGGTAGATGGGGGGTCTGTCATTTGGGAGCCTGTATCAGCTGTTACATGTAACTGCTGCATCTGGATGATCCTGGACATTTCAACACTGACCTGAGAGTAGCTACCCTTAAAAAAAATAAATAAATAACCCCCTCACCTCAACTCAACCACAAAATTGCAGAACAAGGAATCATACACAGATTTGATGCGCTAACTCTGATCTCAACAAGGACTATGGATATCTCATTGCCTGGGCTAGCTGTTCATTGATTGATTTAGATTGACTGATTCATTTGATTTATATGCTGCCAAAGGCATTCCCAACAAAGGCTGTGTGGTTTACAACTTAAAAACAGGAGAGAGAAGTTAAATTCCTCCCTGCCCCCCCACCCCTGCCACCCTTTTTGTCACTCACCCAAAGGAGTCTCCTCCCCATCCCCCAAATCTGGTGAGGCCTTCCCTCTCCCCAGGCAGGGCTGTGCCTTTCTTCCTTCCTTGCCTCTTCCTCCCCTGTCTTTCATAGAGGGGAGTGCTGTGTAGCCCATTCCACCTCCCTGTCTCTCCACCAACATATTACAGAATTTATATGCATAATACAGGGTAAAACATGAAATCTGCCCTCCTCTGCCTCTGGACCCACTGAAGGTCAGAGCCAAAGGGTACATCACTCTTCACTGGGCACCAGCATGGCCCTTGCCCTGGGTGCCCCCTCCAGGATGGCCTGGAAACAAGCCCAGGATGGCCTGTAAAGAAGTCTAGTTCAGCTGGCCATGTTGTGCCTGTTTTCAGGCCAGACCTTCCCCCATTCTGGGTTAGGTACCTAAGGCTGGGAAGCAGTGATGGAGGCAGCTCCCACCTGGCAGGGGCTTGCTGCAGGCCATTGTGACTCTCAGACAGTCAGTCCAAGGAGTGATCTGAAGTCCAGGGTGGTCCAGCAGGGCCTACCTCACCCTGATTTCATAGTTTCATAGTTGTTAGGGGCTGGGAGGGACCTTACAGATTATTGGGTCCAGCCCCCCTGCATTTGGGCAGGAAAGACTTGGCTGATTCTCCAGGTGTTGACTTCCTTGTTCATCTCAACTGGCCTAACCAGTCCACTCATTATGTCTCTTAACAGTGTTCGTTCCACCTGTCCCTTTTCCTTCTATATAAAATCTTTTTTTTTCTGCCAGTCCTTTCCTAGCATCTGACAAAACAGGTTGTGGCCTATGAAAGCTCATGCCTCTCTAAATCAGCCTTGGTGGTGCCACCCTGCCCTATCTTCTGCCTGATTTCAGACTAACATGGCTAACCAGCAAATGATCCTGTTGTAACACAAATTAGCTAGATTGCCCTAACTTTGACCTTGAATGAAAAAGAGCTAATGTGGGAGTGGTTTTGCTACATCTGTACAGAATCACTCAGACATAGTTGTTGTACCATAACAGTTTATAATCAGTATCCTTTGATATCAATACAATTTGTACATCTTTCAATATCTCAGAAACAAATCAATGTAACCCACTTATATTTTTGATCAAGGAGTCACAGTGTGCATCTACATGTGCCCCTGACTGTGCATTTAGCACTGCACAGTCATTTAGCACTTGCTTTAGTATGTACAAAATTACTGCTCAGTACCTGCGCCATCCCAGCAGTGCGTGGTCATTTTTATACACTACATCGCCGTAGTGTTGGCGTCATGGTTTGTGCCCACTGACGCTAAGGAGTTATGTCACTGTCGGTGATTGCTATGGCGATGTAACATCTCGTGTCTATGCACCCACTGTGCCAGAAACCATTCTTAAAATTTGCATAAAGATTAGGTCAGGCAAACCTGTGCCCAATATGAGCAAGTTCCTGAAATTCTCTAAACAAAACACCCAAATTGATTTTAGTATGTAATGAACTATGGCTTGTTGTGTTGTACTGCTTTATACCAAGGAAAATATGCATAATCTTTGTTGATGGTGATCACTGATGAAAGTCAAGCACTAGGAACAAGGCAGGGTAGATTTGCACTTTGTACATTAACTAAATCAGAGATATATAAAGCTGAATAAGCTATCTGTAGAATCTAGGACCCCAAAGGTGTTTTGTCAGTTGTGATATTATAGAAAATTGTGTCATTTAGCTCATTATCAGTTACTCCATTGTGTTTGACCCAAATTTTGTCAAGGTGATAAGCACATTTGGAAACTACAGTAAGCAAGCCTAGATTCTGATCTAGAATATTTGAGAAGCTACAGTCCTGGGATAAGAGTATGTCAGTTGTACTCCTTGTCTCTCATATTTTTTAGAGTCTAAAGCCACCTGTAGCAGGCTTGCTGGCAAAGGCTTGCAGCAGGCTGCACACTCTAGGCTGGAGGAGTCTGCAGGCTTGCAGGGACTATAGCCAGCTGCAGGAAGTCAAACCTAATTACAGGTCTCCCCAGAGGACTAGGCCTGCTGAGGTAGATAATTGGAGAGATAATTAGAGATGGAGATAAAAGAGAGACAGGGAGAAGAGAAGCAAAGCAAGGCTAGTGGTGGTGCAGCACAACTGAGCAGGTGGCAGCAGAACTGAATCAGGGTCTGGACAGAGATCCAAGGCTACAAGGCGGGAAGCAGCTGTACCACAACAAGGGTGGTGGGGTCGGCAAGGCAGGGAGACCCCAGAATCTTGGGGTGATAACAGCGTGGGGCTGGGTCTATGGCCAGGCCAGCCATGATCTGCTGCCCTCACACCCATGCAATAGGTGTGGATTCCATGGACAGGGGTGTGCAGGGAATGAATCACAGCTTTGCCCTGGCCCCATGCTGTCATTGCCCCAAGATCTCAGCTCTGGCCCCAGCCAGTCATGCACTGTCAAAGCCATGCAATCTCAGGATCTCCATGGAGATTGGCTGGGAGCCATACAAGCAGGGCATATGGGTGGGTGGGGAGCTGCTTCTAGGGCTGGGGCTGTGGATCCTGGCTCTTCCCTGGCCCCAGCCCTGCACTGTCACCACCCCAAGATTCCAGGGTCTCCCAGGCCCCACTACCCATCTCGCTCCTGGACACTGCTCCCTGCCCATCTGCAGCCCCATCCCAACTGCCCAGCCATGTGCTCTGCCCACATGGGTCCCATCACCAGCAATGGGTGCACGGTGGGTGGGCCAGGATTTCCAGGCAGCAGGGTTGGGTCCGGCAGTGGCAACTGAAAGGAACTGTCACTGCTGGGGCTGCCAGGAAATGGAATCTATCTGTAGGCCAGACACAATCCCTCCACAGGACACATGTGGGCTGTATTTTGCCTACCCCTATGCCCAATAAGTTAAGATTTATCTACAGCATTTCTGGGGAAGACTGGCAACCTCTCAAAATTATCCAAAATGTGAGTTTTTAGGCTGGTCCAAAATGTTAAATGAATTTTAAGTATCCTGTTCATCAGTGAGCCTGACAAACATGTTTTCCCATCTTTTTCCTTCATTCTAGGAAACTAGCTCTTCTTAGTCAAAGGTTTCCTAAGGCTCCATTTGAAGAGGTTTACAGAGTTGCAAACAATCTTAAGGGTGTCTACAAAGAGTGCTGTGATGGTAACATGATGGATTGCATGCATAACAAGGTAGGTTACATACGTACTTTTAAGAATTTACATACTTTTAAGAGAGCTAGGAAGAACCATATTTTCTACTGCCTACTCACTCAAAGTTCTAGACCTGCCCATTCCTTGTAAAAAAAGGTCGGCATTTAAAGCCTTAAACATTCAAACATATACCTACTAAATGCTATGGAACCAGGTTACACCAGCTTGGTCTATAGCCCTTAGATATCATTGCAGATTAATTATAATTTGGGATATAATCTGTCTGCCTTAGTTTCTGAAGCTCAAAAATCACCATAATGATTAGGTAAATGAATGGGAAAATGTATATGAGAAATAAATGCAGCGAGAGACACCCAATGCTTCAAGGTGCCTGTCTATGTGGACGTTTTTCCATCTCAAAGACTGGCAATATCCAGAGTTGGCTTTCTGCTGCTGTGGGGTTTTTGCCTGTACTAGTACCTGGCAAAACCATGTGTTGGAGAGTGGCGATAGGCACTGGCAGGGACTGGGACTTAGGGGCTTCTGTCTAACACTAAGGGATGGGGATCGCCTCTTCAAGGGCGGGCCATGCAGTATGGAGGAGGAGGCTGGGTGGCTGCAGGACCCATTGCTGGAAGCACATCTAATGCTTTATTTGCTCTGTCTGCTCTAGGCTGCTCTTTGCTGATTGCATCCTCATGATAATCCTCTCTAGTAAATCAGGCATTTCCTTAGAAAATTGATAAGTCAAGCATTGACTTGAGCACTGGAAGAGTTAGGAATTAATAACCCAAAGAAATCCTTTTAAACAATACTATGTTGTATCTTTTGCAGGCACAGGTTGTAGAATATGTGTGTTCCAAACAAAATGTCTTCTCCAGCAAAATCAAAAAGTGTTGTGAGAAAGTGGCGATAGACAAAGGCCAATGTGTTGTTGAGGCAGGCCGTGATGAGAAACCTGAAGACTTGCCCCTGATAGCTGGGAAGTATGTACAAGATCCAGATGTGTGCAACCACTTTGCGGCAGGTCACAATAAATTTCTGGCAGAGTACGTAATGCATGTTCTTGTATTTCATGTTACTTGGTGCATGTACACAAATAGTCAGACTGGCATACAATAAGTAAAGTAATATAATCTGCCAAATTTAAGGGCCTAATCTTCTGCTAGTGTAAATCTGGTATCCTCTTTAGAGTTATGTCATTTTACAGCAGCGGAAAATCTGGCCTTTAGAGTATATCCTAGAGGGTTTTTTTTAGTCCTATCTTAGATTCATAGATTCATAGATTGTAGTCAGAAGGGACCACAATGGATCATCGTGTCCGACCCCCTGCCCTTGGCAGGAAAGAGGACCGAGGTCAGATGACCCCAGCCAGGTGACTATCTAGCCTCCTCTTGAAGACCTCCAAGCTAGGTGATAGCACCACCTCTCTTGGAAGCCCATTCCAGATCCTGGCCACCCTTACTGTGAAAAATTTCTTCCTAATATCTAACCTAAATCCACTCTCAACTAGTTTACACCTGTTATTCCTAGTCACTCCCTGGGGAGCCTTAGTAAACAGCACAGCACTTACCCTATTCCCCATTGACCTCCCCTAATGAATTTGTAAGCGGCCACAAGATCTCCCCTCAGCCATCTCTTGTGAAGGCTGAAGAGATTCAGATCTCTCAACCTTCCTCCGTAGGGTCTATTACGAAGGCCACTGATCATGCGAATGGCCCTCCTCTGGACCCTCTCGAGATTCCCCACGTCCCTCTTGAAGTG